TTGTAGTTAAGCACTCTGATAATTTATTCATACTTGTGCTTACTCTTTGGCTATACGATGTGAAAGATACCTAGATCTGGACATGAAGACATCTTTAAACTTTTTAGTAGCCATGTATTTTTGATCATACACGATTCTGACATGGTATTTTACTAAAAAACGTCTTTAGCCCTAAGAATGACTTTTTTAGGTTAGGATCAGTGATGATAATCTGATTGGCTACATTAAGAATTTTCCGTTGTAGACAGTATAGCCACATATTCACAGACCCAAGACAAACAAAAATGAACAAGAAAGTTCCCCAACGATCAACAGAACCTAACCAGGTATAAGACCAAAGACAGGAGTTATGCACAGAATGAACACCGACTACTACATCTCCCGAGATTCTAAGCAACCCCCATCTCCATACCAGACTGGACCGACTGCGAGCACTTTTAGTTACCATATCACTCTCATTTTTTTTTTTTTAAATCACTCTCATTTTTAAAGTGTTTTCTACTCAGACCTCTGGGGGAAAATGGCTTAATTTTAGCTTAAGTTACTTAAATTGAATAACTTTTCACATTAACTTGTCAATGGTGACTTTACAGCTATATAAATGTTAGAAAGTAATTTCAGTGAGTTTAAACCAGACCAAATTTTCCTTAGAAATTGGGGCTCTGTATGTATGTAAACGTGGATGGGGGTGGTCTATGTTGCACACATGTACCCATCTCTATCCAATCTAGTATTGTATCTTTTTCTTTTCCAGTTTTTGGCCAGGGCTGGGTTTGAACCCACCACCTCCAGCATATGGGGCCAGCATCCTACTCCTTTGGGCCACAGGTGCCATCCTGTATCTTCTTTTTTTAAGCTTTATTAAAAAAAAATTTTTTTTTTCAATTGAGACAATCTCATTTTGTCGTCCTCTGTAAAGTGCTTTACTGTCATAGCTCAAAGCAACCTCAAACCCTTGGGCTAGAGCAATTCTCTTGCCTCAGCCTCCCTAGCAGCTGGGACAACAGGTGCCTGCCACAATGCTTGGCTATTTTTTTTGTTTTGTTTTGTTTTGTTTGTTTGTTTAGCAGGCCCAGACTGAGTTTGAACCCACCCGCCCCGTGCATGTGGCTGGCAACCTAACCACTGAACTACGGGTGCCCCCTATTTAAAAAAAATTTTTTTGAGACATAGCCTCAAGCTATCCCCCTGGGTAGAGTGCCCTGGCATCACAGCTCACAGCAACCTCCAACTCCTGGGCTCAAGCGAGTCTCCTGCCTCAGCCCACCAAGC